GGAAGCTGGGGTGCTGGAAATAAACATAAAATAACAGCAATTAAATAACAGAAATTTACTGTAAAATAGCTGACATTAAATTACAGAAATTTACTGTAAAATATTGAATGTTAAATTACAGAAATTTATAGTAAAACAACGGCCATTTAATTACAGACATTTTCTGTAAAAAAATTTAATTTTAAATTACAGAAATTTACTGTAAAATAGCGACTCTAAAATAACAGAAATTTACTGTAAAATAATGACTTTTAAATTACAGAAATTTACTGTAAAATAGCAAACGTTAAATAACAGAAATTTACTGTAAAATAATGACTTTTAAATTACAGAAATTTACTGTAAAATAGCAAACGTTAAATTACAGAAATTTACTGTAAAATAGCAAACGTTAAATAACAGAAATTTACTGTAAAATAATGGCCATTAAATTGCTGAAATTTTCTGTAAAAAATCTAATGTTAAATAACAGAAATTTACTGTGAAATAGCAACAGTTAAGTTACAGGAATTTACGATAAAATAGTGACCGTTAAATAACACATATTTACTGTAAAATAACGGTTGTTAAATTACAGAAATTTACTGTTAGATAGCAAACGCTAAATAACAGAAATTTACTGTAAAATAAAGGCCATTAAATTACTGAAATTTTCTGTAAAAAATGTTATGTTAAATCACAAAAGTTTACAGAAAGATAGTGACCGTTAAATAACAGAAATTTGCTGTAAAAATAAAATGTTAAATTACAGAAATTTACCGTAAAATAGTGAACGTTGAATAACAGATACTTATTGTAAAATAACGGCCATTAAATTACTTAAAATTTTCTGTAAATAATTAAATGTTAAATTACAGAAATTTACTGTAAAAAACAACTATTGAATAAGAAAAATTTACTGTAAAATAGCGAACGTTAAATCACAGAAATTTACTGTAAAATAGGGAACATTAAATAACAGAAATCTACCGTAAAATAGCGAACGTTAAATAGCAGAAATTTACTGTAAAATAATAGTTGCTAAATAACAGAAATTTACTGTTAAATAGCGAGCGTTAAAAAACAAAAATTTACTGTAAAATAGTGACAGTTAAATAACAGAAATTTACTGTACAATAGCGACAATTAAATAAAAAATTTGCTGCAAAAAATCTAATGTTAAATTACAGAAATGACTGTAAAATAGCGAACGTTAAATAACAGAAATGTACTGTAAAATAGTGAACGTTAAATAACAGAAATTTACTGTAAAATAGCGAACATTAAATACCAGAAATTTACTGTAAAATAGCAAAAGTTAAATAACAGAAATTTGCTGTAAAATAGCAAATGTTAAATAACAGAAATTTACTGTAAAATAACGACCGTTAAATTACAGAAAATGACTGTGAAATAGTGACAGTTAAATAACAGAAATTTATTGTAAAATAGCTGCCAGAAAAAAACGAGAAATAATGGGTTTTCTTTACAGTGTACATTTTTTATATTTAAAAATAAAAATGAAATGGGTTTCAAAAAGACACGGTTGTGTAAAAGTCCAAGTTGTTATAATTCCCCAGCGAGCATTGTTGTCAAAACAGCATTAAAAATGCAAATCGATTTGAAATCAGTTGAATTGCCTACCTTGATTGTCTCAGTGGTTAGCACTGTCACCCAACAGCAAGAAGGTTGCTAGTCTGAGTCCCGGCTGGGGCAGTTGGCATATCTGTGTGGAGTTTGCATGTTCTCCCCGTGTTGGCGTGGGTTTCCTCCGGGTGCCACAAGTCCAAAGACGCTCTACAAGTGAATTGAATGAACTAAATTGGTCGTAGTGTAGGAGTGTGAATGAGTGTGTATGGATGTTTCCTGTAGTACTGGGTTGCAGCTGGAAGGGAATCCGCTGTGTAAAACATATGCTGAATAAGTTGGCGGGTTTTTTTTCACTGTGGTGACTCCTGATGAATATAGAATGAATGAATGAATGAATGAATGAATAAATGAATGAATGACTACCTTGATGTCAAAAAGACCTCAAATTACATCTAAAACTGGGGTCAAAAATAATGTAAAAAATATTTTTGAACTGTCCATTTTGAAATTGAAGTGTTCACTTCTCTTGTATTATGCTTCATATGTTGTTATTTTGGTGGTCAAAAGGACATCAATGTGTAGATGTCAAATAGACGTCAAGGTTTTGACATCAAATTAATTTTTTGACGTTGTTTGGCCATCAAGGTTTAATCCAACTCAAGAAAAAGTCGACACTTTTGAAAAGCAGGATTATCAAAATGCTCAAAAAGAGAGTACTCTCTTATAAACACTCTAAGAATGCTGAGTTGTCCTAACCCAACATTGGGTCAAATATGGACAGCTGTTTTGATTAAAAAGTGCACATGTAAATTTAATTGACAAAATTAACACAACAACCCAGCATTAATTTAGTGTATTACTGTCTTTTTGGACACTTGAATAATCCTGCTTTGTTAACAGGTAAAACTCTTCCTTGAATTGGGATGAAATGCCTTCAGATGAACCTGGGAGAATAAGAGAATCCTTGCAGAGTGTTTTATGTGTGGTTGTTTGTCACACTCGTGATGTTTGAGTTCACATGGACTCATTTAATCTCAAATTGCATTATGATGAAGTCTCAGAATAACATTTGACCAGTCAGTTGATTTTAATTCAGCCTCTGCCCCATTCTTTTCGCTCTACCGCTTTTGGCTATGAGCTGTCCAAAAATGTTTAGAAATCCATTTTCTATCTTGATTATATAACCAGTCAGACATTTTAAATACTCTTGTTAGAACGGCACAAAAAGCTTCCGACTGAAGTCATGCCCATTGGTGCTAAATGGCCAATTAGAACGGCACAAAAAGCTTCCGACTAGAGTCACATCCATTGGTGTTAAATGGGCATGCTTTTTTCATACTGCTGTGATATAATTCATTTACCCCAAGGAAACCGATTTTTTATATTTAATTGAATGTACTGTAGATTTCAACATGTTGACTTTGGCTGAGGATCAAACTGATTTTTTAAATCAGGGGTTGGTGTTAATTTTCATCTTGTCCCATGTTGTTTTGTATTAAAATATATAACTTATTTAAAGTAATAATGATCCTTCTACCTGCTAAAGTCTTGTCGCCTGTTCAAGTTTCATGAATAACAAATAATACCTTGACTTCTAGTTGATCATTTGGTATCAGAAGTGGCTTAAATGAAATGCAAAGACCTCTAGATTACGCTTATTTTACTACAATAAAACATGATCATGCCTTGATTTTTAATATTTTATTAGATCAGTAAGTTCTGACTTTGCTTAGACAAAAGTCTTGTCACTTAACAGAAGTCATGCCTAGTATAGAATATAAAGTCATGTTGCAGTGGAAAAAGGGTTAATATTGTGTCTGACTCCATCATGAGCTTGGAGGACTGCATCCATATGTCTCTGAAATGACTCAAATCACTTAATAATAGTCATCTGGAATGGCAAAGGAAGTGTTCTTGCAGGACTCCCAGAGTTCATCAGGATTCTTTGGATTCATCTTCAATGCCTCCTCCTTCACTTAACCCCAGACATGCTCAGTAATGTTCATGTCTGCTGACTGGGCTGGCCAATCCTGGAGCATTTTGACCTTCTTTGCTTTCAGGAATTTTGATGTTGAAGTATAAGGAGCGCTATTCTGCTTGAGAATTTTCCCTCTCCTGTGATTTGTAATGTAAACGGCAGCGCAAATGTCTTGATACCTCAGGCTGTTGATGTTGCCATCCACTCTGTACATCTCACACATGCCCCCATACTGAATGTAACCCCAAACCATGATTTTTCCTTCACCAGACTTGACTGATTACAGTGAGAATCCTTAGTCTATGCGGATCCCAATAGGTCTTCTGCAGTATTTGTGATGATTAGGTTGCAGTTCAACAGATGATTCATTGAAAAATCTTCTGCCACTTTTCCAAATCAACTATAAGTCAAGTTATTATTTGTTGCTCTTACAACTGGGTTCAATACAAGACTTTTGTCAGGTAGTGTACAAGTTGTATAGCATATAAAGGGGTCGCCACAGCAGAAAAAACCACCCACTATTCCAGTATATTTTTCACACAGCGGATGCTCTTCCAGCCACAACCCAGTACTGGGAAACACCTATACACTTTTGCATTCATACACTACGGCCAATTTAGTTTATTCAGTTCACTTATAGCACATGCCTTTGGACTGTGTGGGAAACCGGAGCACTCGGAGGAAACCCATGCGAACACAGGGAAAACATGCAAACTCTACCTAGAAATGCCAACGAGCCAAAGCTGGGACTCAAACCAGCAATTTTCTTGTTGTGAGGCGACAGTGCTTACCACTTTGCTAGCCCATGAAATGAGTTTAGATTTTTGTTTCCTGATTATTTAATTTCCTTATGCGACACCAAATTTGACCATTTACAAGTTTTAAAAACGACATAATAAAAAAGCATTTGTATCTTTTCATTCATTCATTTTCTTTTCAGCTTAGTCCCTTTATTAATCCGGGGTCGCCACAGTGGAATGAACTGCCAACTTATCCAGCAAGCCCTTCCAGCCGCAACCCATCTCTGGGAAACATCCACACTCATTCACACACTATGGACAACTTAGCCTACCCAATTCATCTGTACCGCATGTCTTTGGACTGTGGGGGAAACCGGAGCACCTGGAGGAAACCCACGCGAACGCAGAGAGAACATGCAAACTCCACACAGAAACGCCAACTGAGCCGGCTCGAACCAGCGACCACTTTTTGCTGTGAGGTGGCAGCACTACCTACTGCGCCACTGCCTCGCCGCATTTGTATCTACACTCTTAAAAATAAATGTTCCAGAAGAATGTCTTTAAAGCAATCCCACAGAATAACCAGGTTAACTAATTTTGTTGTGGTAAAGAACATTTTAAAAGTTAATTTAGAGAAAAGTGGGCTAAGCCTTCCATGAATTTTCTTCGTAGAATCATTGATTTAGTTGTTTTTTTTTTTTTTTTTACACAATCTAAGAGTTGAAGGGTAAAATTGAGTTGATTTGTTTACACGGGTCCCATGAGAACATTACAGCATTTAAAGTTATAGCTTATTCCACATAGCATAAGTTAAAGCCTCTAGTTGGCTCTAATGCAATCAATGAATGGCCTATATATAAACCAGTGCGATGAATATAGAAACATAATTATGAGAAAAATACGTGCATTGTCGAGTTTTTTTTTCCGGTCATCCCAGGACTCTGCTTCTCTGTCCCACTGATGCGTCGAGGCGTTCCGGTATGTGTGTTCATGTGATGCAGGGAGGATGTGTCCTAAAAGAGTTTGCATCGAGCCAAACTGCATCACTTCTGAGTCCGACCACCGCACAGCAAGCATCTGTGGATATCCCCCCTTTCGCTTTGCATTTATATCTGCTGAAAGAGAAGAAAGGGCAGAGAAGGAAAGCAGGATTGTGAAATGGGAGCTGCGACATCATCCGCGCGCCGGGACAGCAGAGGTGAGGAGGACGCGGCCGCGGAGGAGCTCACTGCAGCGGGGAGCGATGCTCCGGAAGACGGCAGTGCTGCGGATGACAAGGTAAAACCGTAAAGCTCGCCTCCTGCTGCAGAGAAATGCTTTAGAAAGTTTTAAATGCATATATATGAATCTAAGGACAAGCATGGGACTGTATGTCAAAACAGAGTACATAATACACATGCATCCCCTAGGCAGGACTGTTTTAAAGGGATAGTTCACCCCAAAATGAAAATGTACTCACCTTCAAGTGGTTTCAAACTGAAGAAAAGATATTTTGAGGAAAGTTGTAAACATTTAATCATTAGTGTGGGGAAATCTAACACTCAAATTACTCTAATTATGTAGTTTACTTTCACTTGAGTACATTTTTAGTGCTGGATCGGTACTTTTACTCCACTATTTTCCTTCAACCTTCAGCCACTTCATTTTTTCTTGTCTATAAGAATTGGCTGAGTAGAAAAATCATGCGATTCCTGTCCGAAAATAGACAGTAAATCACTTCATACTAAACTAAAATGGGCGCTATCTAAATGCAGCAAGCCGCTTGAAAGCATTAAAAGTGTCCAGGAAGATTTCCAAAATCATCACTGAATGAAAGTCAATAGTTGCATGTTTCCATTCTAAACTTCAAGTGGTTTCAATATTTCATGAGTTTCTATCTTCAGTTCAACTCAAAAGAAGATGTTTTGAAGAAAGCTGGAAACCTGTAAACATTAGTGTGAAAACCAATTACTATGAACGTCAATGGTTACAAGTTTCCAGCTTTCTTCAAAGTATCTGTAAGAGCCATAATTTGATTTAATAAAATGTATTAATAGTGCTCAAATAGCAGTTTACACGTTATGTTTAGTTCTGTACATTCGCTGACTTTACCCCTACTCCTTTGTTTGTAATGGTTTGCTCCGCTTTTACTGGACTGTTTTAGGTTATATTACAAAATTTGACAGCGAAAGGAAGACAGAGCAACACTGTCTTTTGAACAGAGTTTGCTGTTATGCTGGTTGAGAATTCAGTTAACAGCTTTACTTGGAAAGAAACTAAAGTCAATATTGCCCGACTGATTTCCTGAAATCCTGATAGTACAGTCATTAAGATTTGAAACAAGTGAAGGAAGAGTAAATGACAGAAATGTATTGAGTGAACAACCTCTTTAAGGTAGCGTGATGCTCAAAATGTTGCGCAGGAGATGAACTAACAATTTGGGATTTATGTCACATGAAAAAATACTGTACAAAAACTGTAGTGTTTTTTAAGGCATATACTGTTAAAGTCAGAATTATTAATTTAAAACGGCTTTTATTCTAGTCGAAATAAAATAAGTAGAAAAGAAAAGAAAATATTATCAAACATACTGTGGAGATTTCCTTGCTCAGTTAAACACCATTTGGTAAATATTTTTAAAAGAAGAAAAAAATTCGAAGGGGGCTAATAATTCTGACTTCAACTGTATATAGCAAAGTAATTTTATACAGTCTGTTGTGGTAACTCTATAGCTGCTATGATTATATAACGCTTATTGTAATATAAACAATGCAATGCTATATTTTCTACAACTATAGTGTATATAACAAACTAAAGATTCTGTTTTTTTGTTTGTTTTTACAGTATATCGGTTTACAGTATGCCATAGAGTCTAAAACAAGCTGTGACGTTTTAACATTGGGTCAATCATAGGTTTCTTATTTGAGCCAACACTGAATTCCTGCTGAGAAAAAAACAGCTTAAACCAGCCTAGGCTGGTTGGATGGTCAACCAGTCTGGTTTTAGAAGGGCTTTGGCCATTGCAGGGTGGTTTTCAGCCTAGCTATGTCCACCTTAAACCGGGCTGAAAATGGCCGAAAACCAGCCTAGAATCGCCAAACCCTTCTACAACCAGACTGGTCGAGCGCCTAAAAGCAGCCAAACAGCTTAGGCTGGTTTAAGCTGTTTCTTCAGCAGGCCTAATACAACACAGCAATATTTAGAGTGTGGCATTCTTCAACAAACTGTATATATATATATATATATATATATATATATATATATATATATATATATATATATATATATATATATATATATATATATATATATATATATATATACATATACACATATATACATATATATGAACGTTCATTAGTTAATGTTAGTTAACACATTTAATAACATGAACTAATAATGAATAATACCTGTACAGCATTTATTAATCAAAGTTCAACATTTACTAATGCATTACTAACATCCAAATTGATGATTGTTAACATTATTTAATGACTGCAAGTTAATGATCAACTTTATTTCCATCAACTAACATTAACAAAGATGAATAAGTACTGTAATAAACGTGTTGTGTTTATGTTATTAAATACATGAATTAATATAAACTTACTGCAAAGTGTTACCAAATTCATTTGGTTCAATAACATGTTTTCAAATGAGGGGACTTGACAAAGTGAGTGCAGAGAAATAGCCTGATGCATTTCACCCTTTAAAGTTCATGCTGATATCGACGGCTTTTGGTCGCAGCCTTTGTTTCTGGAGCTGAACACAGTGAGACGTTGTCTGAAACTGCAGGGGACAAATAAGATACGCGGATACAATTAAGAGAAGCAGCATGCAGAAGCAATAATATCCTCATTTGATTTTTTTTTTTTTAAATAGGAGAAACAATAAATGTGGAAAAAGTGACTTTTTTTTGTTGTTGTTGTTTTTCTTTCCTAGAAGGCAGCAGATCAGATTTTCAGATTTAGCCATACAATGATTTCTTACATTTAAATAAACATGTTTTTTTCTTGGTAAAAACAATAGTTTTCAACAATGTCTATAAATTAAATATCCTCACTTTCATTTATTTATTTTAAATGACTGATAAAAGCTAAAGGAAGATTAGGTGACTGTCCTATTTACACTCATCGGCCACTTTATTAGGCACACCTTAATAGTGCCAGGCTGGACCCACTTTTCCTTTAGAGCTGCCTTAATCCTGCATGGCATATAGATTCAACAAGTTACTGGAAATATTCCTCAGAGATATTGCTCCATATTGACATGAAAGCATCACACAGTTGCTTTGGATTTGTCGGCTGTACATCCATGATGCGGATTTAAGGTTTTCTATTAGCTCGAACTAGGCCATTCTCCTTTGAACTTTGGCATCAACAAGGCATTCGCACCCACAGAACTGACGCTCACTGGATATTTTCTCTCTTTCGGACCATTCTCTGTAAACCCTAGAGATGGTTGTGCTTGAAAATCCCAGTAGGTCAGCAGTTTCTGAAATACTCAGACCAGCCCGTCTGACACCAACAACCATGCCACGTTCAAAGTCACCTAAATCACTTTTCTTCCCCTTTCTGATGCACGGTTTAAACTGCAGAAGATTGTCTTGACCATGTCTACATGCCTAAATGCATTGAGTTGCTGCCATGTTATTGGCTGATCAATTTGCGTTAACAAGCAGTTGGACAGGTGTACCTAATAAAGTGGCCGGTTAGTGTAAATGTTTGGCCTAAATTCACTTTACTGATCTATAAGTGATAAAACAGTCAGATTTCAGCAGTTCAGATTATTCAGCATAGTTTTCTAAACGTTAAACTGATTGTGATTTGCATTTATTTCTATGTTGAAATCACTCGAATTGTCATATTTCTGCTTTATTTTGGCTGGTTTCTGTCGTCGTGTGGTATAAGAACTGTAGTAGTAAGTCATTTTTTTGGATAAAATCATGCACATTTTAACATTATTATTTTATTATTGGAAGCAGAATAATTTAATAACACTGATAACCTATGCATCCCTCAAGGCCGACAAAGAAACTTTCCATTCTCTGAAAATGAAACGAAATTAAATTACACAAGGTTACTCGCTGCTACACGGCTCCTCTTCATGTGGATTGAATTTCTAGTTTGACCTTTGATGTCTGTTTGTATGTTTGGATTATTTCATTGCATTAAGTGAAGGTTGGAAATTTTAAATGCAATATTACATTTTATATTGCAGACCATAAATTTAATTTTATCAATGCAATTCCACTTCTTTTAGTATTTAGGCTTATCAGTTGTTTTATACTAACGTGTGCATATATACTGTATCCATTACTATATATGATTTAGTTTTATAGATATTGCAAGGAGCTAAACCCGTGTAACATTTACATTTGATTTGATTAATTTATTTTCGAACAGAAATATCATACATGAAATATCATTAACAAAAAATATATTTCAACATGGTTGAAAATAGTGATGAAGCACAGGCTTATTATTTTCCCACCCCATAACCACATACATCATTAGTCTATTACTTAAACTTATTTCTTCTTTTACAGTATCTCTTCTTTTAACATGAGACATATTTTATCCTTTTGGCATCTTGGACAAATTATTTGTTTGATTCCATTTGTACCTTTACATTTTGTAACATAGACCCCCCAAAATACAGTACTGCAAATAGGCATTAATTAAAATTTCATCAAACCTTTCTCAATTTATCCTTTTTCAATCACCTTCATCATTATATTCCTTTAATAATATACATTAATAGTATACCTAACGTACATTTGTGGCAATGAGAAAAGCAATAATTGTTTTATTATTATTTTTTTACATTTTATATATAATATGGCATGAAATTGGCTTTGAACAATGGTAAACATTAATAAATGTACAGTTGTCAAAATTATTATTATTAGATTTTTTTCTTTTTTCAATATTTGCTAAATGATGTTTAACAGAGTGAGGAATTTTTCACAGTATTTCCTATCATATTTTAGGTTAGGTTATTTTAGGTTAGGTTACTTTATTTGTACCCAAAGGTAGATTTGGTTTGCAGTCAAGAGTCCTCATCTCATAACAGTGCCACAAAAAGGAACTCAAATAGTAACAACAAATGAACAATAAGACATAAAACGTAAACATAAAAAGACTTATAAAGAAGAAATAAATAATCACTCACCCCTGAAGCAACACAGAGAAAAGTATGATGAATGCATGGCGATAAAAGCCAACAGTAGTAATTGTAAAAATATATATTTTTAAAATGGGTATTTGTTTTATTTATCTGTACATTTGACTTTTTAATGTTATATTAAAGTAATTGTAATTTAATTCAGTAATGTAAAGATGTTTCTGTTATTTAATTTTGTACAATTTTGTTTCCATTTGAAAATATTGTTCATTTCTAGTTGTTGCTAGATTGCACTGTATACTGTATCTCAGTTGAAAAATAAAAATTTCAGCATTATCAGTAATCTGTGTGTGCATTTTTCTTGACAATAAACAAGTCATCCCACTTGTTTATCGTATCGCAATCCTAAATCGCAATTTTGACCTTAAAGATTGCAATGTGATATTTCTCCCAAATCGTGCAGCTCTTGTGTAGGGGATGAGCAGTGTCACTTCAAATTGAATTTGTGATTGTCTTTAGCTGCCTGGTGTACACAGCCTGCATTTGTATGATTGCACACTTTCCACAGTCTGATTTGTGCTCATCTGTGTGTGAGCAGCCTTCCTAAAAACAACATCTTGTGTAGTTAAAATATTTAACTGAAGACATGACTCCTCACACCATCTGACAAAGTCAATAAGTACTGGACCATGACCTGTTTCATTATTATGAAGTTGGCTGACAACAACAGGTCATCTGGAGTCTTATTTTTTTATTTCGGCTGGAATAAAAGCAGTTTTTAATTTTTTTAAAACCATTTTAAGGTCAATATTATTAGCCCCCTTAAGCTATATTTTTTTCTGATTGTCTATAGAACAAACCATCATTATACAACGACTTGCCCAATTACCATAACCTGCCTAGCTAACCCAGTTAAGTCTTTAAATGTCACTTTAAGCTCAATATAGAGTCTTGAAAAATATCCAGTCAAATATTATGTGTGGTCACCATGGCAAAGATAAAAAGAAATCAGTTATTAGAAATGAGAAGCTATTAAACGTGTTGAAAAAATCTCTCCGTTTAACAAACTGAGTCAAATACAGGGGGGCGAATAATTCTGACTTCAACTGTACTTTGTAATATTTATAATTAATAATCAGAATTACAATTTCCATGGAATAATTCAGTTGCAGCCTTAGTGCACATTAATGGCCAAAGATATTTGTAGTGCTCTTATTCCCAAAAGACTGTAGGAATTTTCTCCTACTGAGTGGTGCATTGATTTTTCCATGTAAAACATGATGAGGTCAGCTATGGTTTAACAGGAAGTCTGTGAGATGGCTTTTAGTCAAAGGAAAGCCATCTGAAACTCATGAATGTGTTCATTTATTTTGTTTTGTTGGTTATCCCCAGGGCCATCTTCATCATTGTGGTTGGGTGCTTAACAATCAGAAAATATAAATGTCAGAACATATTGTGATAAACTTCGTCAAATGTTTGGGGAAATCCTAAACTTGCATGCACTTCAATTGTTTTTGAGTGAGCAGCGCTGACTTAAACTTTAATACAACAAACTCAATGAGATTGTTACATAAAATAATATATAAATGCATAAGAACTACAATGGCAAACTATTTATAGGGATTTACATTTGCAAATAATCAGCATTTTAACTATAAACCTATGAGGTTGTTGTTGTTCATTATACATAGTATATGTTTATTCATTGTTACCTAAACCAAATAAGTTAAGGTAACTCAAACCATTTGAGGAAACCGACTGCAACAAACCATTTAAAGTTGAAAAACTAATCCTAATGAGTACTGTGAGCTTAATTCATTCGAGTTAATGAAGCAATTTGAGCAAAGTAATCGTAATAAATAAAGAGAACTCAAACCAATTGAGTACTGTATAAGTTAAGGCAACTCAAACCGTTTGAGGAAACCGATTGCTACAAACCATTTGAGTTAAACTAATCTATATGAGTACTGTAAACTTACTCCATTTAAGTTGAAGTAATGAGGTATTTAATTACTTCATTACCTTCAACACTGAGTTCAAAACTCTTTTCAAATGAGTAGAATTAACTTTTAGTCAATTTTGAGTTAAGTACACTCTATTTAACAATGTATGTGATCTTATTAAAAATTATTCATACGTTATTAAAGTTATTAACCCTTGACCTGCATTGTAACCGCCTGAGTGATGTTTTGCCCATATGGTTCTCAGTAAAACAAACACAATTGATAAAAATAAAATGCAGAGAATTTTAGTGATTTACAATACACTTTACAATAGAAATTAACTTTGAGCATTTTAATAAATCTTGATTTAATCAGACAATATCTTTGGGCTTTTTAGCTATTTCTGAATTTTGTAAATAATCTGCAGATTTCTGCTGAACAATTTTGAGTGTTTGAGGAAAATTTAAAAACAATGACTTAATTTTTTTTTATTAAAGGTTAAATGCAATCAATTAATAAGCACCATTTGTTTGGTAAAAGGTGGTTCCTTTCGCTGTGGCGACCTCTGAAATAGAGACTAAGCTGAAGAAAAAAGTATAAATGAATGTTTGTTAAACAACTACAATAGGTCTATAATACATCCTCTTAAAGACATTATTAATAAACAAATTTTATTGAACAGACAAATCATCTAAAAATCTTAGATTTATATATCCAATATTAACAAATAAATATAAAAAACTAAATATTTTTAAGAAGTAGATAAATGTTAAAAAGTATTTAAAACTGAAATACATAGAAGTAAATATTTACTTTTAAATATTTTCTCTCCCCCACCACACCACACATGCCTAATTCAGGTGAGTGGGCTTGACAAACCACCTGCAGAAAACACTCTCTTTCATCTTTCTGGCACCCGCACCAGTTTTGCACACTTGCACGACACTTTCTTATAGGGCTGTGCGATAACGTGATATTTGATCGAGGACGGTCAAAATGATTGCACAATCCACTTTTTCAGAAAAATCGTTGTATTGCCATATAAAATATTCTTAAACAAACATGGTAACAGCATATTTTTATATTGGGACATTAGTTTGGTTGTATCGTACCTTCATAATAAGCAAAATAGTCTTAAAAAAACAACTTGAAAAAGAATGGGGATAAAAATCGTGAATCGTTATATGATATTTCTTCCATATCGCCCACCCCTACTTTCTTACTAAAAGCATTGTGCATTTATGATGGGTGCTACACACAGGTGAGTGTGCTTGACAAACCACCTGTGTGAAGCACAATTCTCTCTATAAAAAACACCCAACCTCCTTACTCTAGCACTTACCTCTCTAAGCACTAATAGTTCCTTTATGTAATTAGCACTTGTGTGACTTCTTGTTGAGTCACTGAATGCCTCTTTACCTTAGGTTGCTTTGTACAAAACTTACTTGCTTACTTACACCCAGGGATAGTTACACTATAGTTAATATTTAGCTGCACCATGCTGGCGTTTCATGACATCTAATTTTTATAAAGTGAATTCAGGCCAACACTCAACCCCCGACCTGGAGGACCAGAACACACACACACACACACACACACACACACACACACACACACACACACACACACACACACACACACACACACACAAAGGACAATTTAGCTTACCCAATGACCTACAGCGCATGTCTTTGGACTGTGGGGGAAACCGGAGCACCCGGAGGAAACCCACGCCAACACGGGGAGAACATGCAAACTCTGAAATGCAAAACTGACCCAGCCGAGGCAACAGTGCTAACCACTGAGCCACCTTGACACCTACTGTATTGCTTTGTACAAAAGGATCTGTTAAATGACTAAATATAAATAGAATATTTACAGTATGCTTATATTAAGTAACAGATGTAATCACAGGGTGAACAATCTTTAATTCAGCAATCAAGTTTTCCAACAGATTTCTGTAGGCACAGATTCCATGTGGGCCCTGTCATGACTTATATACTACATACCTTCTTTGCCTTATTTGTCACTCTTTAATCTGTGCTTCCTTTTTCTTAGCTACTACAGACAAATGGACTGATCTCCAATCTGAATGTAAAGACAAAGGAACCTGCTGATGAATTAAATTGCCAATTTGAGGAAAGAGTACTTGCAGATGGTAGGTGAAACTGTCATCGCTCCCTCAATGTTTCCCACTGTGATAAGAAGAGCATGTTTATATAGTTGTAAATATTCATGTGCAAATATTTTATGTATTTATAATGCATTCTACATTTTTTATTTATTTGTCAGTCGGCTCTGGGTTTGTCACATTAAAAGAAGATGGCACAGAAACCCTCGAAGACCTACAGAATTTGGATCCTCTTCAACCAAATGCTAAGAATGAAAGCGGTGAGATGGTCAATGCTGGTGTGACTTTGAAAGAAGAGACTGAGGTGGACAGCCAGGTGAATGATATCAATGAGGTTGGCTTCAAAAGAATCTTCCGGTTTGTTGGATTCAAGTTGACCCTCAAAAAAGACGCATGTGAAAAGACTCAAGCAAATGAGCAAAAAGAGACCGAAGAGAATGAGCAAAAAGAAGACAATGCCTCAGAGGAGGCCAAGGATGAGGATAGTGACGTGGCTGCAATTGAAATCACACCTGATGAGACTCATAAAAGTGAGGAGTCTTCTGATGCAGCAGAACCTCCTTCACAACAAACAGACAATGAAACAGAGCTGGATCAGGACATAAAGATAGTGGAATTTCATGTGGTGGACACACCTGGTAAAGAAATGGAGAAAGAGTCGAGCATTGAGCCAGAGGAACCAATGTCACCAATCAAGCAATTCTTTACACAGGGAATCTTTGCCAGTTTAAGAAAGAAAAAGAAAGAAGAGGAAATACAAAAAGAGAGCAAGGAAGAGGAACTCAAAGAAAACGAGAAGACAATTGCTGAAGAGGAGGCTGAAAAACAGGACAGTAAATGCATGTGCCTTGACATCCCTTATATTATATCAGAGGACGGCAAAGATTCACAGGAGAAAGGCGATGACAGTTTGTTACCAGAAGGAGAGCTTCAGAATTCTTTAGAGAAAGATAAGGTACAAGGAAGTCCACTTAAAAGACTTTTCCGGAAATTTTCCTCAAGAAGGCAACGAGAAGGTAAAGCTGCGGAAAAGGTGGCTGAGGTTGAGGAACAAGTCTCTGAACAGCCAAAACCATCCTCAGAGCTTGGGAAAGCAGAGGAACCATTAATTGGGGAAACAGTAATTGAAGAACCAACAGTCGGGGAACCAAAACCTGCTGATGAGCAACCGGTGGGTGATGTAGGCCCTCAGGAGTCCAAAAAGAAATCTGACACCACTGTGTCTTGGGAGGCACTGATTTGTGGTGGCTCTGCTAAAAAAAGGGCTAGAAAAACAAATGAGGATGAAATGTCAGACAAAGGACAGGAACATGATAAAGTGACAGATTCTCCACTGGGAAGTTCCATTGAGGGTGATTATGATCATCTGACATCGTCGAATGAACAAACTGGAAGTCCTGCAGAAGGGGAGGTGGGATCCACATGGAAAACTTTTAAAAAAATGGTCACCCCAAAGCGGAAGGTTAGACCCGGAGAAAGCAGTACGCCTGAGCAGATACCTTCAGATGGGGAAATGAGCAAAGATGAATCGTTTTCTAAGAAGAAACTTATTCCAGGTCATAAAAAGAGAAAATCTGAGGCAAAGCAAGACCAGACATCCTCTGATGAGGTTGCTAAGGATCATGAATCAGATGATGAAACGCCAGCTATTATTCCATTGTCTGAGTATGAAGTGATCGAGCCTGAAACTTTGAAGGAGATGAACGAGCAACGAGTTGAAATCACAATAGAGCATGAGATGCCAGAGATCCCATCACAGGCATTAGAAAAGGACACATTCAAGACTGTAACTAAAGTTTCAAGTAACACTGCACCAGCAATTATACAATCCCTCTCAGAGGACTTTGAAGAACTCACAGACTTTTTGAGCAAACATCAACAACTGAGTGATATACCAGAGGAAGGCATCGAGGAAAGCATTGAAACACCAGTATCATCTGCTGAGTGGACAACACAAGATGACACCTTAGCTGAGGACATTGTGGAGTTGACAGCTGATGCAGTTACTGCCCCAGAACCAGAAAGTATTTTGGGGGATGACACGACTGAAATGGTTTCAGCTCTGTCACAGCTAACTGAATCACCAAGGTCATCTGGACATGTTACACCAGTGTCGGCTGAATATGACGTACAAACATCAGATGCAATTCTACATGAAGCTATTCAATCCATTTGTATGACTCCAAGTGTTCAATCAATAACTACAAAAGATGAAAGTCAAAAATCGCTGGCTGTGTCATTTTCACCTTATATCGTACAGTCATCCACACCAGAGGAAACAAAGGTTTTGGTTGCACATAAGAAAACGGAGGCAACAGCAATATGCATAGGTCTAGTATCTCAAGAAATTGAGTCTGTTGAAAAACATCTCCCTGCACCCTTAGTGGAGGCAATACTTGAGATCTGTGATACTGTCCCAACTGAAGTAGCCTCTGATAACTTTACAGATGAACATGAAGTTGCGGGAATTGGGACAGATGAGGTCTATGAAGCTGAAATCAAGGATGTGAAGACTGAGTTTCAGGAAAGAATTGTAAATGAAGAAGAATCTACTTCTGAAAGTGAACGAGACATAGAGCAAGTCATTCAGTTAGTGACAGAACCACTTGTGGATGAATCAGAGGAGACTCATATAAAGGACAAAAAAGAGGAAAGTACAACTGGTATTGAACTTAGACAAGATATCGACACAATGCAAAGTGAATCTGGCCTGGATCAGGTTATGTTAGATATAACCCATGGTCCTGAATTGGAGTGTCCATCTTATTCAACAGATGAAATTGCATATAATCAACTAGCAGCTGGTGAACCTACACTAGATACAATTTCTCAGGTAGATGAACAAGAAACTGTAGACAAAATTCTTGATATTACCAAAGCCATAGATGCCCCTGTAGAAGACACTGCCTCAGCAGTGGAGTGTCTGGAAATCAAAGAGAATGTTAATATTATTAGCCCAATTACAGATCAAATACAAGTAGAGACAATAGTGTTAGAAGATAGTTTACAAATAAAAGATGTTCCATCAATACAAGCTGATGTAAAAGATGCTGATTTATCAGTAGATGATTCAGGTGACATGTCCATCAAGGACATCGGTGAGAAAATGGAAGCAAGTGGTGACGAAAAAATTGCACAGCAGGAGATTAAGGAAGATCATTTAGAAGAAGAGACTGGGGATGTTGTTTCCTCGGAACTTGTTCAAAATGTTAAGGCTGAAAATATAGCAGAATCTATAGATGATTTATTAGTAAAAGAACAGTTGCCAGCCGAGAAGGCATCACTTACAGAACCTGTATTAGAGAAGGCTAAAGAGGCCCATAAAGATGTTACTGATACAGATGTGGATGACAAAGTGGTGGACAATGCACATGACCGAGCTGACAGGATTTTTGTGAAAGACGAACTTGCACCAAAGAACGAGCAACCTTTAACAGACACTGATAGCAATGAAACTGAGAATCAAGATCTTTCAACCCATTTAAACAGTATGAGTGAATCTCCTGGCATAGTTGTTGGAGAAACTGAAAAAGGACAAACTGAAGACATAATACCTGTTGTTTCTGAGTTTTCAAAAGATGTACTTGAGCCCACAAAAACACCAACAGAACCTGAAGTTAGCTGTGAAGCTATACCAACAAGTCTAGGGATACCTTCAGCAGAGGTGGAAGTAAAATCTATACCAGAAGAAATTGTAACTTTTAAAACAGAGGAGTGTAGTCAAGACATCCAACAAAATGAACAGCTACAAACAAGTGAGAATAACAAGACTAGCAAAGTTTTAGAGATGGTTGCCATTACTGAGAATACAACAAAACAATTAGAGCAAGAGAAAGCTATAGTGGCCGAACCAGAAGCACAGGTACTGACAATGTCCGAGCTACCAAAGGCAACAGAACAAGAGGGTGATTCATCTGAAGTTACTGTAGTTCACGGGGAAGCAAACGATAGTGACCAGGCCCAAGCAGTGACATTAACAGATACAATAAGAACAGCAGTTCAAGATGAAATATATAAAGAGGCTGTTGCTTCCATACTGAAACCAGAAAGGGTTGACTCAAGGATGACTGTGACTGAAGAAAATGAAGCATATGCAGATTCTATGCAAAAATGTGAACCCCTTAGACAGAAAACAGAAATGACACTGTCAAAAGAGTTGCAGGTAGACAAGACAAATAATAAAGATGAAATACTAGCGGTGACAGAAGTAATTCCCAAAGAACAGGTGCCACCACTGAGGTCTGAAGTGACAGCAGAAATGCCAGATGTTACGGTTTCTGAAGTACAAACAAAAGTAGAGAGTGAACTCAGGGCTGCAACGCTTGAAGTGACAGAACCAAAGGTAGAAATGCCAGTAATAACAGAAGTTACTGTAGAATCAGCTGTAGTAACTGAACCTGAGGTAGAGAGACCTATAGTAACATCAGTTGTTGCAGAACTTGAAGTAGAAACACCAGTGGTTACATCTACGACAAAAGCAACTGATACTCACACTTCCCAAATCATAGATGCTGACACAACAGAGCTGACAACAGTGATCAAAGAAGATGTGGAAGAGAAGCCCACTGTGATTTCTGTGGTAGTTACACCAGCTACACCTTTAGATGAAGCAACACCAGTTCTAACTCAAAGCCATGAGTCAAGGGTTGTAGATGAAGTAAAAGACGAAAGTGTTGAGCCAAGAGCAATAGAAACACCAAAGGTTGAAGCAGTGATTGTTAGATCTGTGTTGGCTCCAGCAGTAGAGATACAGAATGTGATTCCAGTGGTAAAAGCACCAAATCTTGGCTCAGTTACAATGACAGAGGGTTCGTCTCCAGTAGTAGAAGCAACAGTATTAGAAACAACAGCTGCCACAGCAATAAAACCCGATGTGGTAGAGATCCCAGTGGTACAGACACCAAATATAGATTCAGTGATAATGTTACCAGCTATAACATCTGTACCTTCAAAAGAAGTTACCCTAGATTTGACATCATTTGCAGAAACACCACTTGACAATGTTACAGAAATTCCCGTTGTTTCGCTCACATCAGTAAAACCAACTGTTGCTGCATTAATGCAGACACCAGATGCTGAGATACAAGCAAGGATTCCAATGACAGTAACAGAAGTTGCATGTCCTGTAGTTGTTACAACAGATGTAACTCCAGTAGCACCCGGAGGAATTGTGATCCCAGCAGTAGAAACTCCCCATGCAACTTCATCTACAGTGGTATTAAAAACACCAACTCAAATCTCAGTAACTGTAACAGAAGCAGAAGCTCCAGTCACAACATCTGTGGCAGCATCAGCTGTAATCCCAGTAGAAGAAACAGTCAGAGTAAAAGAGACTTCCCCTCCTGGAGTTGTTTCAGTAACTGCAGCAGTAGAAACTCCTGCCACAATCCCTGTTGTACAAACTCCAGCTGTAAAGTTGTCTTCATTGGCAATGGTTGAGACACCAGTAGTAACGCCAGTGGTACTAATGCCAAACCAGGTTTCAGAGAAAGCAAAGGAGACTGCACTTTCAGCAGTCATTTCAGCAGTAGAAACAGCTCCTGTGATCCCAGCAGAAGAATATCCTGTTGTAAAGTTAACTCAAGTTGCAGTGGTTGAGGCACAAGTTGTGCACCCAATGGCAGAGACACCAGGACAAGGTTTGGTCCGATTAACAGAGACTTCACTTCCAGCAATTGTTTCAGATGTAACAGCAGCAGTAGAAACACCTGCCATAATCTCAGTTGTAGAAACTCCAGTTGTAATGACAACACCAGTCACAAATTTTGAATTACCAGTTGTGAGCACAGCGGTAGAGATACCAGGCCTGGTTTCAGAAATAGTGAAAGAGACTGCATCTCCAACAGTGGTCTCAGCAGAAGAAACACTTCCTGTGATTCCAGTTGTACAAACTCCCACTGTAAAGTCAACTGAAGTTGCTGTGGTTGAGCCACCAGTTGTGACATTAGATCAGGTTTCATCGCTAGTATCAGAGACTTCACCTCCAGTAGATGTTTCAACAGTAGAAGCACCTGCCGTAATACCAGTTGTGGAAACTCAAGTTGTAAAGTCAACTCCAGTTGCAGTGATTGAGATACCAGTTGTGACCCCAATGGTACAGACACCAGGTGAAGTTTCAGTGATAGTAAAAGAGACTGCACCTCCAGCAGATGATTTATCAGTAGAAACATCTCCTGTAATGCCAATTATAGAAAATCTAGTTGTAAAGTCAACTCCTGTTTCAGTGCTTGATGCACCAGCTGTAACCCCAGTGGTTCAAACACCAGGCCAGGGTTCAGCCAGTGTAATAGAGACTTCACCTTTACCAATTGTTTCAGGAGCAACTGCATTAGTAGAAGCACCTATCATGATCCCAGTTGTAGAAACTCCAGTTGTAATGGATGAGATGCCAATTATGACCAAAGTGATACAGACACCAGGTCAGGATTTAATGATGGTAAAAGAGACTACACCTCAGGTAGTTTCAGCAGTTGAAACACCTCTAGTAATACCAGTTGTAGAAACTCCCGTTGTAACATCAACTCAATTAAAAGCAGTTGAGGCAACTGGTGTGCTCCCAGCAGTACAGGCACTAGCCCAGGATTCAGTCAGAGAAACAGAGACTCTACCTCAAGCAATTGTTTCAGGAGTAACTGCAGCGGTAGAAGCACCTACCATGATCCCAGTTGTAGAAATTCCAGTTGCAATGGTTGAGATCCCAGTTGTACCCCCAGTGGTACAGGGACCAGACCAAGGTTCAGTCAGAGTATCAGAGACTTCACCTCCATCAGTTGTTTCAGGAGTTACTGCACCAGTAGAAACCCCTGCCATGATCCCGGCTGTAGAAACACTTGTTGTAATGTCTACACCAGTTGCTGCGGTTGAGACACCAGTTGTGACCTCAGTGGTGCAGACAGCAAGTCAGGTTTCAGGAATAGTAAAAGAGATTGTACCCCCTGCAGATGCTTCAGCAGTTACTTCAAGAGATGAAACTCCTGCTGTAAATTCAACTCCAGTTGCAGTGGTTGATCCACTTGTTTTGACCCCGGTGGTACAGATATCAGAGCAGGTTTCAATGAAAGTAACAGAGGCTTTACCTCCAGCAGAGGTTGAGACAGTAGTTTTGACTGCAGTTGTAGAAACTGCAGTTGTAAACCCACCCCCAACTGCAGTTACGGAGACACCAGTTTTGACCCCGGTGGTACAGATATCAGAACAGGTTTCACTAACAGTAAAAGAGACTTCGCCTCCAGCAGTGCCTGAGACATCAGTTTTGACTCTAATAGTAGAAACTCCTGTTGTAATACCAGCTCCAGCTGCAGTTACTGAGACACCAGTTTTGACCCCCGTGGTACAGATATCAGAGCAGGTTTTACTGAGGGCAGAAGAGACTTCACTTCCAGCAGTGGCTGAGACATCAGTTTCGACTCCATTAGTAGAAACTTCAGTTGCAAAATCAGCTCCATCTGCAGTTACTGAGATACCAGTTTTGACCCCGGTGGTACAGATATCAGAACAGGTTTCACTAACGGTAAAAGAGACTTCGCCTCCAGCAGTGCCTGAGACATCAGTTTTGACTCAAGTAGTAGAAACTCCAGTTGTAATACCAGCTCCAGCTGCAGTTACTGAGACACCAGTTTTGACCCCCGTGGTACAGATATCAGAGCAGGTTTCACTGAGGGCAGAAGAGACTTCACTTCCAGCAGTGGCTGAGACATCAGTTTCGACTCCATTAGTAGAAACTTCAGTTGCAAAATCAGCTCCATCTGCAGTTACTGAGACACCAGTTTTGACCCCCGTGGTACAGATATCAGAGCAGGTTTCACTGAGGGCAGAAGAGACTTCACTTCCAGCAGTGGCTGAGACATCAGTTTCGACTCCATTAGTAGAAACTTTAGTTGCAAAACCAGCTCCATCTTCAGTTACTGTGACACCAGTTTTGACCCCGGTGGTACAGATATCAGAGCAGACTTCAGTGAGGGTAACAGAGACTTTACCTCCAGCAGTGGCTGAGACAGCAGTTTTGACTCCAGTAGTAGAAACTCCAGTTGCAAAACCAGCTGCAGTGACTGAGACACCAGTTTTGACTCCAATGGTACAGACACCACGTCAGGTTATAGTGACGGTCACAGAAACTGCACTCCCAGTAGTTGCTTCAGCAGTCAATGCTGCAGCAGAAAAACCTTTTGTGGTCCCAGTTGAATCTTCAGTACTAAAGCCAACTCTAATGACAACACCAATTATGACTTCAGTGGTAGAAAGGTCAGTTCTAAGTCTAGTACTAGAAACTACAGCACCAACTACAATTGCATTGACAGAGAGACCTGTTATGATCCCAATGGTACAGACACCAGCTTTGGTGTCAGTGATCGTAAAAGAGACTGCACCTCCAGTGGTTCTACCACCTGTGACCACAACAGCAAAAATACCAGTTAAGAGCCCAGCGGTAGAAACTCAAGCAGTAAAGCCAACATCAGCAGCGACAGAGACACCCATTCCTGTCGTCCCTATATCAGAATCACCTGTTGTGACCCCAGTTGGAGAGCAGGTAGCAGAGACACTAACAACACCAGCCACGCCCTCTGTAATAACACCAACAATTGAGACTGTGATGGAGTCACCAGCTGAAGTTTCAGAAGAAAAGGCAAAGCAGCAAACAGAAGTAGCAGAGGCACTTACTTTAGCCCCAGTTGTAGAGGCACCAGCTACACCTCAACCTGTTGTGACACCAGATGTAAAGGAAGCAATAGTGCAAGTAGTTGCAGAGGATAAAAAGGAAGCAAATACAGAGCCTTATGTTGTATTTGAAGATGCTGTACAACAACAAGAGGTAAATACATCAATTCAAGAAAATCCTAAAGGTCCCATGCCACATAAGGCTGTAGTTCCTTCTACAGAACCTCAGCCAGAGATGGAGGAGGACGTCTGGGAGGATGCTGTCGATAACATTGGAGACTCCCACTGTCAGTTGACACACACAGAGGGTGAATCCCAAGATACTGCTGCTAAAGAAGCATCCGAAGCCGTAATTTGAAAGTGACGTGCTAAACCACAAACAGTGTTTTGTTAGTAAGTGACTTCATCATATTTCTATATTTTCCAAGTGGTGCTCGCTGCAGAGCCATTTGAGGAGAGCTGAGCTCCAGCGAGGGGGAGCTTAAGCTTGAGCTCCACCTTTTTTGCACTTCTTCTACGAGTGATGTCACTGGGGGTAGGGTTAGGGGTGGGGTTGGTGTACGCATTAAAACAGCTTACAGGAGGAGGAGCGACAGCTCATGCTCCCCCTCGCTGGAGCTCAGCTCTCCTCAAATGGCTCTGCAGCGAGCACCCTCTCAAATTATCTGTTAAAGCTTTTTTTTTGTTAATGAAAATACTGATTGTATCATTTCAGATCCAAGTTTAACAACAAAAGATAAGAACTTCTACATCTGGAAGAAGCCACGTGCAGCACAAAATCAGCCAGGGCTCACGTTTCTATACAACAAAGAAATTACCACACTACTGAGAAGTAAAATTGCTTCATCAATTTCCTTGACGTTCTTTGATCAAGCATTACATTTTACTTTGACAAAGAAAATATTACAGTATTAAAACTATAAAAAGCAGCTATTTTATCATATTTATACTAAGGATATTTGTCAATGGGCTTATTATTTTTATCCTGACTCTGAAGTTAGCTTATCAAACAATATGCTGTTACAAAACTGAAACAAAAAGTTTTGTTATAATATAAAAGTATTTGTACGCATTATATCCTATAGATGGCATGTTGAGTAAAACAATTGTCATTGCTGAAGGCAATTACGATGACTTGTATTTTAAAAAATGTACTAATTAATTAAATAATGAGGTATATTTATTTTAAACCATCATATGCCTTTTGATAAACCTCTTTCTTCTATACTCTAAATAGTAATTTACAGTTTACCAAAGCTGTAATGAGTATTAAAAGTTTAAAAACCACAGTCATGCTTCATTAAGAGAGGTGTAAATGGTGTTCAGTGAGATTAAGTCACTTAATTTGTGACTAAAATGTAATTTTTTATACACTCTGCTGTGTGCCATTGTTAGAAATGAGGTTTCATTTACAGTTTAAGAAGTACTTGACTGCTCTTAGCATAAAATAAGCATGCTTTTTTTTGCATTTATTGGCTTGTTTTTTTCACTCAATATTACAGACCTATTATTACTGCATATGTACCCAGTGGTTTTACTTTTTTTAAACATTATATAAGCTACCATGCCTGTGTTTAAAGCATTTGAACTGACAGAATAAGCCAGTACGGCGTTGAAATCAAGATTTGTTTGATGAAGTGTTTGAAACCACCTGTACAGAAGGTTTGAGTATATTATACTATGCATAATTGGAGGAATTGCAATATTAACAATCCCCTAAAATGAATGGTCTCAAATTCCTGGAGGGCCACAGCTCTGCATATAGTTTAGCTCCAATCACCTCCAACTCACTGCTGGTTATTAGGGTATATGCAGAAGGACTTTTATTTTTCAGTGACCTGACTCAAGTGCTTCCGGTGAACTATGTATTGTTTTAATTAAAAATAAATGATCTTCAAAGCCTTACTGATATACAATATAAAGTGGGTCTCCGATTGTACAAGAAGCACTGCAATAAATTAAATTTTTTCCACACCATGTGTTTAAAATATGAACATTTATTTTACCCCAGTATATTTAATAGCATTTCTGTGCTTGCCTGCTGATCCCGATGGGCAGGCGTGTGTGTGTGTAAACGACTTTTTATCTCATTTTATGCTTGAACAACTAAATCAGGGTTGTCCAAACTCGCTCCTGGATGGCTGGTGTCCAGGAGAGTGTACCTCCAACCCTAAACAAACACATCTGAACCACCTAATCAAGCTCTTAAGCTGCGGTCACACTGGGCTTTTCCTCCCATAGACTTCCATTCATACGCACGAGAATGCGTCAGGCCGGAAACGCAGGGTCATGCGTCAAGTTTCGCAGGTTGCTGCGGTGCAAGGTTCAAGCTTGGTGAACTCTGACCTGACGCATCACATGACCGCGTGAGAACAATCGAGGATCAAAACATGACATCTCTGGACAGAAATTGAAAACATGGAGCAATTGCTCGCATTTAAAAATGTCTAATAAGCTTGTTTAATCCCGCCCCATTTCGCAGCGCCGCATGACAGAATATCACATGCTTAAACTCTAATGTGACCGCAGCTTTACTAGACATTACCAGAAACTTTCTGGCAGGTGTGTTAAAGCACGTTAGAGATAAACTCTCCAGGACTGAGTTTGGACACCCCTTTTAGTTCACACCCCTGAACTAAATGAACACTTAAGTCTGTTTACTGATTGTATTTCAATTACATTACAACATCAATGCTGTAAAAGAAACCGTGTAAAATTGAAAAAAGTCACATTAACTGTTCATTGGAAGTTTATCTGTGTGGAAAGACATCAAATAGAAAGGCCCCTGGAGGGCTGGTGTCCTGCAAAGCTTAGTTCCAACCCCAGACACACCTCAGCTAGCTAATCAAGCTCTTTCTAGGTATACTAGTAACTTTCAAGCAGGTGTGTTGAAGGAAAATGGAGCTAAACTATGCAGTACACTGGCCCTCCAGGACCGAGTTTGGACACCCTTGCTAGTCTCTAGTGGTCTTAGGGTGCTTTCACACCTGCCTTATTTAGTTCGATTGAACTGCACTAGAGTTCGTTTTCCCTTTTGGTTCGGTTCGGTTGGGCAGGTGAGAATGCAGCAATCGTACTCGAGTGCGCACCAAAAGCGGACCAAAGAAGCATATCAAGACCTGCTTGAAGAGGTGGTCTCGGTACACTTTCAAACGAACCCTGCAGCGGTTCGTTTGTGGTGAGAATGTGATCCGTACTAAAACAGGTCCAACCGCAAAAAGTACTGCGCCTTTTGGACTAATCCAGCTGCCGTAGGCCGATGCGCTGTGCATTGTGGCATATGGAGGAAAAATATTTGTTGAGAGTGCTTTACCAACAGAGCATTGGCATTTTCCCGCACGAATTCCAACCAGTCAATAAGCAGTTTAGGAAATATGTTCAACAGCATCTGGCCAATGAGAGATGTGGATTTTGTCAGATGACTGCATTTTGGTTCGTTTCAACTGGTTCGGACCAAAGCCAGCAGTGTGGTGTGTAAACAACCAAAAGACGGCAGAAGATGCAACAATGTATCATTTATAGCATTTGGTCCGGACCAAAAGGAAGCGAACTACAGATGTGAAAGCACTCTTAGGGTGCTTTCACACCTGTAAATCGATTTAGTTGTTTCGAAACAGGGATTATAAATGTTACATTGTTGCTCTTTGCTCTTGTTTCTAATTGTTTCAAAAAGTTTCTAATCGGACCAAAAGAGCTAAAACAAGTCACGTGCGAGTAAACTCTCCTCACATTGGTCAGAGTGTCAGGGTTTATTTTGCAGCGTACCGCTAAGCTGTCAGGAGAGGTGGTGGTTTGATAGTGATTGACAGGGTGCGCGCGCGCGATGTGTCTGAGGAGAGATGCGGTGGGGAGGGGTGAGAAGGGTGCGCGACATAGTCTATTTGAGGACCAATTAGGGAGACCGAGATTACCGGGAGATCATCACTCGTTTGCGGGCATCCGGAGACTCGCGAAACTTCCCGCCATACTCATAATTCTCTCTTCATATAGCCGTAAGCCTATTACATATCCATAAAACACTGTGATATAACCGCGCTCGGATCGGATCGCTTTCTCACTGTAATCGAACCGCTCCAGGGTTCGTTTCAATCGAGCCGAGACCACCTCACTCAAGCGATCTCGGAGCGATTACTTTGGCGCGGAACAGAGCGCGATTGCCCTGTTTATATATGCCAAACGAACCGCGCTAATCGAGACACGTTCCGAAACAAAAGTGTAGGTGTGAAAGCACCCTTAAACACCTTGATTAGTTGGATAAGCTGTGTTTGATTAGGGTTTGAAGCAAAACTGTGCAGAGCTGCGGCTCTCCAGGAATCGAGTTTGAGACCTATGCACTAAATACAGGGATATAGTTCCTGGATTCTGACGCATTTCAAAATGTATGTCTTAACATGAATTATATTTCAAGTTTTATTTAAATAAAGGAAACTTTACCCATCTGTGGCTCATGGTTTATCAGATGTAATTGCATTTTAGTTTGATAAAAATGCTGGTTTCTTTTTCCATCTGCAAAAGAGGATGCTTTAAACAGTAAATAACACTGCCATTTTATTAGATTCAAACAAATTCACAATATACCTCTTAGGTACAAAATTGCAAACAAAATTAGAAGTGACCTTTAAAACAAGAATCTGAATCGATAATGACACATAAATAGTTAAATATTGCCACTGAAAGAGATGAGATTTAAAGATGGAGTGGTTACTTCAGGAGGAGCTGCCAAATCCTGATTTTCATGATCCGCCATTGAATATTCTGCTGATGCCGCAGCTTTATTTTCAGTCAAACACTGATGTTTGGGAACTTCTGACGGACTTGCAAATGGTGTTGCACACATGCTGCATTTATAGGGTCTTTCTGAAGTCTGAAAGAGAGCTTCCACCTGACTGTTGTCTTCTCCGCCACACAGAACCAAGCTTTGCTTATTGACCATGATATAAGAATCTGCATCCTGGCTCAAACAAACATGTCGAGCAGCCTGGTTCGCTCTGCAGAAGTTCTTTCCACAAGCACTGCACTTGTACGGTTTTCCTGTGTGAATGTACATGTGCTCCCGCCAGTGGCTCTTCTGAATAAACTTGCGAGCGCAGGTCGGACACTCAAATTTTCGCCGTTTCATTTCACGACCCATCTCAGTGCCATCCAGGTTATCTATATCTGCGATTTCAGAAGATGGTGGGGTGTCTTCCATCCACGCATGTTGATCGGTATCACTAATAACATCACTGTCAGCATGCAAATGGTCTTCCTCCATATCCTGACATTCAAGATCAATATTGTGACCATTTGGCGTGGCTGATACCTGTGGCTCGGTTGCTTGGTTTGTGTGGACCTGTAGATGTTCCTTTAACTTGCATCTCTGGTTAAATCGAACTCCACAATAATTGCATGTGTAATGCTTTCTGGAAGAAGCACTTCTGCTCATTATGCCATATGTGAGGTGTTGGACCATCGTGGCTGCAGGGTTCTGGGTGGGTGATTCTACGCCAACAGGTTGTGGAGATCTATAATCCATATCAGAGTTTTCCAAAAATTCACGACCAAAAACATCAGAGCTTTTAGCATAAACCTCATCCTTGCACGTTGAGTTTCTTTCAGGCTGGCTGCACGTCTGATCAGGGATCTGTATGCCGTAAAGTGAGTTCGTCAAAGGTGTACAGTGGGATTCAGGGTTTATAAGAAGACTTGCCTCCTGTAGTAAGGGGTAGGCATGCAGAAATTTTACCCCCTGCTCAAGACGAATGGGGTCGATGGGTTGTGCGGTAAATTTTCCAGTGTACATTAAATTAAGCAGGTAGCTAAAGATGTCGGCCTGTATGTCTGAAGGCTTCAGGCGAACACAGTCACTAAAAAAAAAAAGAAGCAGAAAAAAAATCATTCAGCAGTGTTATAGAGTTTTCATGTATTAATATTTTTTCCTACTCTGTGGTTGTTATATCTTGTAGACTGATTTAATGTGAAGGAATCTTCAAAAAGATGTGGCATTTACATGTTCTGAAAGCCATTCTTAACCAATGACATTAATGTGTGATGCACAGAAAATGCTAATTATGATCCGATCTCAAATATAATTTATGACCAAACTATCACAAGTGTATTGTTTATCACACTTTACATTTATTTTTATTACAATATAATCATTTATAGCAATTGCAGAGAGATCGCCTTCCGCGTCATTCAAATCACGTGTATGAAAGCATTTTGGCTTCTCTACAAAATATAATGACGACAGAAAAGATTATGGTGAGACCTACCTAAACACTGTTTGTTTAGCCTGCATTAATGCATTCAGTGTACATTGCGCAATTAAACATTAAAAAGATTGTGATCTCAATTCAAACCTGCACAACATGAATGATAAATGATAATGATTTGCATTTGTTTATTAATTCTTTGCAGCGCTGCACTTAAATCTGTATTTGATCCTGAGAAATTCAGTTTTACACTTTTTTTGGTTAGTTACAAACAATTAAATAACACAGAAGTACTGGAAGAACAGTTTATAGTTCATTGGTGAAGTATAAAATCCCTGTTTAATGGAACTTGACGCTGGTAAATGTTGTAGCAATTACATTGTGTAAACAATAGGTGGCGACAAACAACCATCAAATTTATGTCACTGACTAGGTTTTCAAAAATGATACAGCTATATCGAAACATGAAGTTTTATGTGTGAATTGTTGAGTCATTAATTGAAAACAAACATGATATGTTGTACAATATGTTAGATTTCTATATTTAGCATTATCAGGTTTTTTTAGCTGGTTCTTTCTTGATTTTTACTTTTATTAAAATTACAGGCTCTAAGTTCTGTTTGTTAAAATGTTTTTGGCAGTATTATTTTTCTACAAATAGAAAGCAAATGACATTTGTCTCCTCCCTTTTTTACTGATCTGAAAAATG